AATTACATGCAAAAATTTACGGCGATTCAATATTGAATGCGCACGCAACGTCCGCTCAAAGTTTGCACGCGCGAAAGGTGAGAATTTTGCTCATTCGTGATTTCCAACAAATTCTGCTTTGCCACGACAGTTTAATGTCATTATATATGAATTTAATGCCAACTTGAATGAGTATTAAGTGGCATATTCAGTCAGTGATCAACCGATATGCTTACCTAAACACAAGGAAATGTTTTTAAAGGAAAAATTTCGAAATCGTTGAAACTTCCTCCTTATTAATGAAGATATCAGTTTATATTTCGACTTTATAAAGTACCCTGACATTATAATCAAAAATAGATGATATTTGACCAAAACCCATAATCATGGGTAGAGTGGACCGCTGCCAGTGTCTCTCTTTCCCAAACAAAAGGAAATGATATTAATTTGATTGACCGTTCTCAAATGCAAAATGATACCGAGAATGAAATCGGTCGCTCGCTTTTCCCATTCATTTACAATTGTAATAGACTATGAAAAACTACCCAAAGGCAGCTGTACTCGGCAATAAAGATTCAATAAACTTCAGCAGTAGTAACTACCACCCTTACCCCGAAATACTAGGTATCGACCCGAACGCAACCCAAAGAGATTTTTACAGCATCTGATTGATGTAATCAATCGAAACTTATTACAATTCGAAAGCCGTGAATGAATGGGAAAAGCGAGCGACCGATTTCATTCTCGGTATCATTTTGCATTTGAGAACGGTCAATCAAATTAATATCTGATATCATTTCCTTTTGTTTGGGAAAGAGAGACACTGGCCGCGGTCCACTCTACCCATGATTATGGGTTTTGGTCAAATAAAGAATAAAGATTTGGCGGAATGACAGGCTGAGCGTTGTATCACGTTGTGACCCCCACGGTCGTTTCACTAGGTGGACCCCTTTATCGTCCTGACGATACAGGGGGAGCCGCGCACTTCGTGCGCGGCGGGTCATACAACGTATGCAGTATGACAAGCTGAGCGCGGCCCAGTAATCAATTATTCGGTATGATTGTTGGAAACTGTGAAGCTTCGTGAAAAGCGCCCGCTTAATTGTGGATATAATACATATCATTATCATACTCGCGTCGCCTCGCGGGCGGAATTTCGTATAGCCCTCGGGCCCAACGAGCCCTCCTGGCGCCCTTGAGGACATATAATATTTATATAAATTTCCGCCCGCTAGGCTGGCAAGATGATTAATCACTCTACACTCGACTGTCACGTGACTTTTTCAACCTGTTCTCTAGCTGGTCCTGAACGACTATTCGAAATCCTAACCCTCTAATCTGATCGGGATCCCAACCCTAACCCTAACCCAATTGCCAATCCTTAACAAAAGCATATGCTGAAACCCTAACCCTAACGAGAAATTAGACTAACTTCCTTATACGGTCATATCACGTGATCGAGATAGTTTTTCGCTAATATCTCGTTAGGGGAGCATTTTAACCCTATGTCATTGTTATGTGGGGTGATTCGGAATCAGCGTCCGAAACAGTTCAACAATTGTTTTTCTAATGCATAATGCTGATTGTTATATTAACGGGTGATGATCGTAAAATATTTGTTTCAAAGACCGTCGACGAGTCCAACTCGGCGCGCGTTTTGATTTACCTGGGGACCTCAGGCTATCATGTTCATAAACATAAAATAGAGATTAGGCGGAATGACAGGCTGAGCGCGGCCCAGTAAGTTTTGATAGGTTATAAACCTACAAATTGTTATACTTGGTTAATTTTAACGATGTAAATTGATGGTTCTATTCAGGTTGATGCAATCTGACGTGGCAGTCAGGTCACATCGGCCAGGATGACCGCTGACAGTCAGGCTGACCGCTAACGCGGTTGAGTATTATGCGATACAAATCGCTGCGAATGGTTGTGAATATTCCGTCGATAAACAGGCCGCAACATTGACAATTGAACATATGATCCAAAGGTCACGAATTACAAATTCAATCGAATAATACTAATTGTAGGAATTACAAATTTTTAAAACAAGATCATTCCGGTTGAAACAAAAAGTTATGCCGTAAGCTGCAAAAGGCACGGTGTAATTGTAAGCATGTTGGTAGTTGTACCTTTGTCCCTTTATTAGATTACCATTGTGTTCACTATTTAAGTGGTGGCAAAATTTAATAACAATTTGGTTATAATGGCATTAAACCGAGCATTGTGCAGTACTTTTAGTAACATTGTAAACATTTAAGTTGACAGAAACACCATGTTATGCAGAAAATAGCATATCAAACATGTCTTATCTATGTCACGATTAATTTTCATTAACGAGTGATACTCGTAAAATATTTGTTCCGAGTCCAACTCTGCGCGCGTTTTGGTAGATTATTAACCTACAACATTTTTACAGACTAGGCAGAGACTCGTGTCTATTGTAGATTTAATGAAATTGTACAACAAAAACCTAAAACGACTATGTCAAATCAAGGTAATATGTAGTACTAGTATAGTAATTCAAGCGTATATACAATTGTAAATATGAAATAAATTATTAGGGAAGAATGATTGTAGAAATGAGAGGGCTAATTGTCTCACTGTTCATTAATGATTGTAGAAATGAGAGGGCTAATTGTCTCACAGCTCACTGTTCATTAATGATTGTAGAAATGAGAGGGCTAATTGTCTCACTGTTCATTAATGATTGTAGAAATGAGAGGACTAATTGTCTCACTGTTCATTAATGATTGTAGAAATGAGAGGGCTAATTGTCTCACTGTTCATTAATGATTGTAGAAATGAGAGGGCTAATTGTCTCACTGTTCATTAATGATTGTAGAAATGAGAGGGCTAATTGTCTCACTGTTCATTAATGATTGTAGAAATGAGAGGGCTAATTGTCTCACTGTTCATTAATCAAAGTTTACTGTTCGGAGTGTGCACAACGGGCTAAATTATCTCTAACCTGATAGAAAATGAACTGAGCATTTTATCGAATCTTCCGAAACAGATACCGTTCGTCATGACGTAGGACGTATGAGTACCAGGAAGTATTTATTTGGTATTATTCTGAAAGTTAGACTGGCACATTGGACACAAACCGAGCCACGATTCGAAAATCTCAAACTTACTTCACACTAATTAGTATAACAAGCTCTCTCTTTCCCATGACAACTAATTATATAGATCCTGGCACAAAAATGGGGGTTAAAGCTGAAATGGGAGGTGACAATGATAAGACTTCAAGCAGCTGTGACGAGATGCTTGATAGGATCTGGAGTGCTCCATCCTGGAAATCCTATCTGGCAATCATGGTCCTGATAGGCGCCTGGCTTGCTACCCCTACTGTCGTCTACATGACCGCTTTTGCTGGTAGGTTTATTTTATGTTATTAAAACTTGAACAAACATGTTATTTTTCCACCATCTATATTTAGTGGATTCAAGTGAACGGAATAATACATAAATCGAAAGTTTTTTAAATGCCTAAAATTGGGGAAATGGCAATGCCGATCGCCTGATAGTGATCTATAAGGTGTGTGTTACCACAAGAAAAGTGTTGGAGACATAAGAAAAGCACTAAGACAACTAACCACCCCCGATATCCGCATTTACGATACTGCACTGTTAAAACCACGATTTGATTCAAGAATTCACCCGTCACCCATAATATAATAGTGGAATCTTGGGTACTAGCAAATCAGCAAATATCGTTTTCATCGCATCAGGATAATAAAATACGGAACTACATATTCCATTATCGTTTAGAATTAACTATCACCAAATTATCATTAATTAGTGAGAGTTAATTTATTAGTATCAATGACGCGGTTGATATTCGTCTAAGATAAATTGAAACTGTTTATTAGAAATAGATTCGAGGAGAAGATCGTTGCTTCAGTATGTGATTCATCTGAGTCCATTACAAAAATAGAATTTCATAATGTTTTCATTTTAAATGTGCTTAGTCATATTGCATTCTATAATTCTGTAGGCCTTTTTGATTTGTATTAGTGTTACATTACCATTGATTTCTAAATCACATATCGTTACGTATTAATTAGGACCATATATCACAAATAAAACCCCAAATCTGATCAAAGTTTTTACATCCACGAGTGTTGAAAATCCACTGATGCAAAATTAATTTTAATATTATTATCAAGGCAGTAAAAACTTATAAAAATGACCTTCTCGTGATCGTAGGAGATTTACAAAATTCCATTTCATACACCTGTTCAATTTTGAAACCTATCGCAGTTACTATGTACTAATTTTTAGATCGGAAATTTTCGAAACATTCGATCGAATTTGATGTCAATTATTGAGATTAAAGCTACAGAAAACAATGTCACGCGTTTTAAATTTTGATTTACCCTGCTTTGTACGTGTTCAAACACCATGATTGTGTTTTAACGATTCATTTGTCTCTTTTCACATTTTTACCATTCCTTTTAAGTAGGATTGTTTATGGTTAGATTTCCGGGCGGTAACTTAAAATTAGGGCGGTAACAAACTAAGACTTTTCAAGTTCTCAACCATTTCTGGGCTTGCACTGCTATTTGCTATTGCTCCCGAACCATGAAATAACATAGAAGTCAGAAGTATGTTTAAAAAAAGAACAATATTTATGTCGAATGTCATGACATATCATAAAGTCTTTCACTGTTCATTGAAGCAGACTAGGTATCCGTATAGAGTATGTTCATTTTCCTTGCTTCTTCCTTGTTGATAGTTGCTACCAACTATTGAAAATAACTTGTTTAGCTGACTTCTCTTTGTCTAAATTATTGACCATATTTTTACGGCCCTGATACCGAACGGCCTTTTGTTGTCCGAAATAATAACCCCTTTTAAAGTCCTTTTGATCGAGAGCTTTAGTCAGCGTTTTTCATTTTGCAGTGCTTTTCTATTTTCTGTACCCTTGAATGGATGTAATCAGTAATTAACATTTATAATATTAGTAACCTTGATTATGATAATCGTGTTATTTGACCCAGTTAATTTATAAGTTTAAGTATGGAAGAATAAGATCAAGCTAAGATGCTAAAAGTTGAAGCTGCAGTCACAACAGAGAAGAGTCCGTTTGTTACAGGAAGAAAGATTACAACAGATGATGTGATCGAGGAACTCTTCAACCGGAGGACCTGGAAATACACACTTCTCCTGTTATGTATGATAATTACCTGGACAGCTTGTCCTACAATGGTCTACCTGACTTTGTTCGCAGGTCTTTTACCTAATAACATTTTATTAATTATGTTAGTGTTATTTTACAAACCCTCTACCCGTCTATATCTGTCCCTATACCCATTTATTCCTCTTATTCTGCTAAACGCTTGCTATAGATAATATTGATCCTATTCCTAAAAATAAAATAGAGTGGAATTCCAAAATATCGACGGATCACTTTGAAATAATTGAAAGATGTTAAACGTTTGGATTATAAAATATAAAGTGGTCACTTATTTTCGACCTAATATATGCACAAGTTTACGACCACAAATGAAGAAACTCTGCATTAGAGTGATTACGTACACGTATCGATATAATTATAATATATGACATTCATTATTCCACATGAAAATTACTTCATTTGTAATTTCCATTTATCAGTGTAGTGTCGAGATCAATAATTAATACTTTAATACGTTGGGCCAAATCATGGTGATTATTACACTAACTAGTGTCTATTTTTTAGTGATTGAAAAATATTTTTGCCGATAACTGAATAACTCGTCAGGAAAGTTCTTTTAACCCTATGTCATGTTATACTTGTTCGTATTTAGCGTTCAAAAATACGTCAAACCATGTTGGTTTCAATTGCAGGGGGCCTTTTAGATATTAGAGTATAAATTGATTAAGCAGACTCGGTCTCTCAGCGACACGGAACATCCCCACCGCGGAAGCCCTATCTGCATTTAACATGCCCACCAGAAATTAACATTCTATTGAGGCACATTGCCACCCATCGTGGGTTTAATTCTATTAGTATTACTACTTGTACTTCTATGATAAAGTGAATGTTTTGAATTTTGCGAATACAACTACTGGACAGGGACAGCTTATTAGGGCTACCACTTGGCTATATCTTCGAGAGGTGTGCTTATGAACAATTTAAGCATGAGGTCGCCAGGTAAACAGTAGCTTACTTTGTAACATTTTCTATTCGAGCTTACGAGTAATTGAATTTGGAATTAGATATATGAATTACAAATAAGGACCCCTGTTCGGGAGGCCGGCACAGTTTCCCAGTGATCAGCCTTTTTTTTCTTTTTTTTAGAGGGGCTGGACCCTTTTCAGTAAGCGTCTTCTTCAATTATAAAAAAAAGCTTGAAGTAGATTTATTTTGTGCCTTCAAAACGAAATTATTATTAAACTTAGTCGGCTTATTACGTTTTACAACAGTCCGTCGTCTTATCTCATCTAGTTAATTTCTACGTTTATAAGTATGGAAGAAGAAGATCAAGCTAAGATGCTAGAAGTTGAACTTCTCGCCACAACAGAGAAGAGTCCATTTGTAGCAACCAGAGGGGAGGCAACAACAGATGATGTGATCGAGGAACTGTTCAGACAGCGAACCTGGAGATACACACTGCTCCTAATGTCTCTCATGTTATCGTGGTGTAGCATTCCGCCAGTTACATACCTTACTTCTTTTGCAGGTTTTTAGTATAAAAAATTGCTCGTTAATGAAGATAAGATAAGTGGAACAAAGTGTAGATTTTATTTCAAATTGCCAAATTTTGACCGAGGCCGGGTTTTATAAAAATAGTGTGATCTTGGATTCCGGTCAATTCTTGGAAAGAATTTGTATTTGTCCCGAGAGATTGACTTCCTTTTATATTATGGATAAAGAAATAACGTAGAAGAAACTTCTGATAACAGCCTGTTTACTCCACTTGTACTGGAGGGAGGAGCGTTCACATTTGATGCTCTGATTGAAGAACTGTTTTTTGTCTTGTATAATTTGATTACATGGATCAGTATTTCTTCTAGTACAATTTGAATTATCACTGAATTCGCAGGTCTTCTCATCGGATAATTCACTTTTATTTTGTAAAGATACCTTACTAGTTTGCAGCAATTTAAGCCGTCTGATCTATAAACATTACAAACCTTAACCGGGGTTACAATACCACCTACGGTTGTTATGATTATACATATGCGGGTTTCTTGTATAGTGTATACTATATAATATACGTAGTATAATTATATCATAATTAATGGTTTAAACTGCATATATTGGGTCTCGCGATCAAATTAATTTGTAATTGACACAATAATCCGAATCAAAACAGTGTCTAATATATCATAATTGTTAAACTCTGATATGTTTCAGGTATCAACCCAACATCTGACAACAAGTGGACCTGTATATCTAAGGAATGCATGGATCTGGTTGCAAATAATTCCTCCCTTCTGTCCCAGTTCCCCTGTAAACTGACAAAAGAAGTCGATGGAAAAACTGAACTTTTGCTAATGTCTTCTGACATCGAATGGGAAATGAGTCACTCATCTTTTGCAGTTGACTTTGATCTGAACTGTGATGTTGGGTCAACTAGGGAACTGAAAACTCTGCTGTCGTCCATTTTCTTTGCAGGAGCATTGACAGGTCTGATTGTAGGAGGATATCTGTTCGATCATATTGGAAGGAAGAGATCAGCACTTGTAGGATATTTCATAGCCGTAGTAATAACGCTGTTGGGCACTTTCTGCCACAATTACTACTTCCTCCTGGCCATCAGGTTCTTCCAGGGTATAGGCTGCTTCCTAATTGCCACTAGTATGTACATTCTTACTTCGGAGCTGCTGCCAGCAAAGTACCGGAATTATGCAAATGGTTGGGCTCAATGCCTCTGGGCTCTGGGATATCCTATTGCTTCTGGAGTTGGTTACTTTGTGAAAGACTGGAACTATATGTTCCTTGCAGCTGCCATTCTACTGTTCGTTTTTAACATCCAAGTCTTTTTCTGCATAGAGTCTCCGAGATATTACCTAATGAAGGGGGATGCCAAGTCTGCCAAAAAGTCCATAGAGGCTTTAGCAGCTTTGGCAGGAACCAAGTTTGGCTTGGAAAATACGGAGTTGGTGGATCTAGGCAAGGCTCAGGAACGAGAGCAGAGCTTCTGGCAACAAGTGGTTGAACTGTGTTCCTACCCAGGTCTCTTGCTGGAGACATCGATCTTAATGTTCCTTTGGTTCTTCCTCGGAATGTCCTACTACGGCTTTAACTTCGGCTGGGGTTCCATAGTTCCAAATAGATACCTGGGATACTTGGGGGCTTCAGTTGGCGAGTTGATAGCTTATATATCTGCAGTGCCGCTGATAGCTCGTATTGGTCGAAGAAGAGCTATGATGTTGATGTTTGTTGGGGCTGCTTTATTTTACTTGATAGCCATTCCGGAGGTGAAGCTAGGTAAAAACACCGACTGGACTTTGGAGAGTGTTTCTTGCCTGATTGGAGTGATCTTTATATCTGGATGTTTTTCTGGAGTCTATCTTTGGACTGCAGAGTTGGCTCCTACTTCCCACAGAGGTTTTGTGTTCTGCGTGTCCTCCAGTTCGGCCCGAATTGGCTCCTTCATGGGGCCTTACATCTTCAATAACTTAAAACACATCACCCACAAAGCTGTTCCCCTGGGAGGCTTGGCAGTTCTGGCCCTCCTTTGTGCACTTGGGTCGTTCATTCTAGTGGAAACTGGAGACAAGGAGACAGCACTTACCGGGGAGGACGTTGTTGCTAGAAGGAAGAGTTACAGATACCGCATATGATGTGAAACTATTGAACGAATCAGTGTACGCATTGATATTAACTGCAAACTTTGAAATACTGTCTGTACTTAATTGCAGCCTATACGTTTCATAATAATGTGAGCAGTGAGCTATGAATTCTGTTCAGACAATTGACGTAAACAATAATTAGAATGGAAAATAATTGGAATCAATTATCAAACATTAAAATTTTAATCAGTGTTTATCATAATTTTCAATACATACACTTTATACTTTTATAATGTACTCATACTTTATGTTTTGAATGTTTTAATTAACATAAAATTGGTTGTTCAATTCTTCCAAAAATCAAAATGTACGTGTCTCTTCTCTCTGAAAGCTGTACTCCTAGATCTGGGAAGCATCGCACTGGTTCCACAGGGCAGGAGAGGAAGTCCTTATCCAGGTGTTCTCGTAGTACCTCAAGAAGGAGTCCACGTCAGGGTTAGATTGGCCAGAATCAAATCTTATATAATTATAACTTGCACGTGTAAAATGTTTTTCCCGAATTTAGTATTCTCTGGTGTTGGGCCATCCCTTGGGTTGTGGAGCTCAGTTCTGCTTCCTATAGGTCTATATTGTACATTAGGCTAGTTCTAAAGTTGAAACTCGAAAAGTCGCACACGTGGGGACAAGCCCAAATCGATGGAAAATTGTTAAAATCGCTGAAAATTGCTATTTTCACCATTTTCTGCCAACTTTGGACTTGGAGTGCTGAGTGTTGTGATTGAAGTTCTTTTTGAAATATTTTGAAAGTTTGCATGCTATATTAAACCTTTAAACTTTTAAATTATATAAGAACTACGCACATATTAAAATGTACGGTGATTTAATATTGGATGCGCACGCAACCAGTAACGTTTGCTCAAAGTTTGCACATACAAAAGGTGAGAATTTTGCTCATGCGTGATTTCGATTAGATTCTGCTTTCCCACGACAGTTAAATGACATATTACAATTATATGAATTTGATACCAACTTGAATGAGTATCATAAATTGGCATATTCGGTCAAAGATCACCAAATATATATATAATATACAGGGTGGGCAAAAAGTCAGTGGGCATGTGTTGGCCTTAATAGCTCCGCCGTTTTTTATATTTGAGAGCTGTTACTTTTCAGATGGCATACTGTACCTTCTGGTTCGAGGATTCCGTCGTCAAAATTTGAAAATTCGAATATTTTAGACCACGCCCATTCAAATTTAAAACACCTATATTGTTTTCTCTGAAAATGCTGGACGCCTGATTTTTTCAGAGACGGTAGATTATTGAATGTTGCATCTGATCTGAAAAAATGACGTAAAACGGATCAGAAATGACGAAGTTATCAAGCATTTTGTGTATCTCGTTAACAAAATTGACTGGGTGATTATGTGACACCGTGACACGACACCTTAATTGGGCAGCCTTAACGATTCCCATAATGTTTAATGGGTTGGTTAACGGGGTGACCTTATAACGTGATTAGGTAAGCCAATCACCTGATCACACGTAATGAATTAACTGATCGTTATGCTTCGTATCTCGGCCATACGAGAAGCTACAACTGTAATTTGTTCAGGACAAACGTAATTCGAATGGCCAAACACAATTCAATAAAATTTAGCTCGTTCCGACTATCCAACCTATCAAATAAATGTAAAAATGAACCTTCATTTGAAAAAAATGAACTCTAATATTTTTCGATTTGACAAATTCCTCGAACCAGTGGTGGTAGTAAGTTTTACCAGAAAAAATTATTTTGATTGGTCACTCAGTGACTGAGCTATTATAAGGCCAACGTATGCCCACTGACTTTTGGCCCACCCTGTATATATACAGGGTGGGCCAAAAGTCAGTGTGCAAACGTTGGGTCTTATACCTCCGCCGTGTTTTATATTTGAGAGCTGTTGCTTTGCAGATGGCATACTGTACTTACTGGTTCGAGGATTCCGTCGTCAAAATTTGAAAATTCGAATATTTTAGACCACGCCCATTCAATATTAAAACACCTATATTGTTTTCTCTGAACATGCTGAACGCCTAATTTTTTCAGAGACGGTTGATTATCAAATGTTGCATATGATCTGAAAACATGAGGCAAAACGGATTAGAAATGACGAAGTTATCAAGCATTTTCTGTATCTCGTTAACAAAATTGACTGGGTGATTATGTGACACCGTGACACGACACCTTAATTGGGCACCCTTAACAATTCCCATAATGTTTAACGGGGTAGTTAACGGGGTCACCTTATCACGTGATTAGGTAAACCAATCACCTGATCACACGTAATGAATAAACTCGTTATGCTTCATATCTCGGTCATCTGAGAAGCTACAGTTCTAATTCTTTCAGGACAAACGTAATTCGAATGGCCAAACACAATTCAATAACATTTAGCTTGATCCGACTATCCAAACTATCAAATAAATGTGAAAATGAACCTCCATTTGAAAAAAATGAACGCGAATATTTTTCGAGTTGACAAATTCCTCGAACCAGTGGTGGTACTAAGCCATACCAGAAGGAAGTATTTCAATTGGGCACTCAGTGACTGAGCTATTAAGGCCAACGTTTGCACACTGACTTTTGGCCCACCCTGTATATGTAGTTTTAATACTTTCAACACTACTAGACTATATAACAAATAATTTGAGAATTTATGTTAATTAATGATGCAAAGAATTACGAGGATCTAGTCAAAACCGCTTTTTTTATTGTGTAGAAGTTCAGCAATGAAATACATATTACATATATATAAATTTTTATTTTTTAAATTTTTATACAAGCTTCCATTCATGGGATAGCCAGTTACCTGGCAACGCCCGCTCATGATGCTTCTCCAAGCTCACACAATTGTCAGCAAGGAGGAACATATTCGTGCATTTCTGCACGAGGAGCCCATCACAGCTACCAACAATTAATTTGTTTCCAAGGCCTAGGCCGTGTACCATTTTGTGCTAAGCAACACCATGGTTTGGTGATTGGTCGTTCCTTATTGGTTATAATATGTTGAGAACTGCCCCCTGACGGGGATTGAACTCGCAACCTCTAGGATAGCACCCATTAGCAGCACAGTGGCTTAAACTGACGTTTTTACCAACTGCGCTACTCGGCCGACAAAAACACAAGGAAATGTTTTATAAGGCGAAATGTCAGTAATCAAGTTTTACGGTTATCACTTTTGCAGATTGCTGCGTTTTGATTCAGTGAAATTGAGCAGGTGCTGAATTTTTGTGGGCAAATAGAAATAACAAATATATTTAGCGTAGGACAATAAAGTATTTAGGGCTGCATCTAGTGATTACATGAGCAGATGCTCCAGTGGCAGTGCCAGTGCATCGGACCAATATGAATAGGAGAATGGCAAAGTTTTATGCTTAATGGTAAAATAGTTTACTATTGTAGCAGCTGCCTCACAGCTTCGCTCAGTTTATTACAAGATCATAAATCTAGTCACAATTTATAAATATAGGAAAGGTCACGTTTAACATCACGAACTAGATCACGGAAAGTATGGTTATACAATATTCAGATATTGACATAACATACCTCCGTTTTTTTTATTTAGATTTTGTTTTGAGGGTTCATTTTTCAAAAAAACTAGAATCATTACATCAATTTTACAACAATGAGAAAATAAAATATTTTGGTCTTCAAATTAAAAATAATATCTCTATTGTATTGGCATTGCACAACAATTTTAACTCAATCAATTCCTAAAATAAATCCATATAAAATAGTCTTCAGTTCAAATTGTATCTCTTCGCCAATTCACTATTCAAAAAAATATTATCAATAATTCAAATTACACATAAGCTTTTTGAGAACAAGTAAAGCTAAAATTTGCTAATTAGATTTTTTGTTTTTTTGTTTATAACGTTTTTTTTTCCATTTTGGGTTCTTTTGTACTTTTTACAAAAAGTTTTGCAATTTTTTCGTAATTCAATCAATTCTTCAATCGAAAAGATTAATTTCGTTAAAATACTTATTTCTATTAATAACACTGACCACTGGACTATGGGACAAACGCAGTCACTGACGAAGTGAAGGGGGAACTTATCCAGAATGTGCAGTATTGGAGAACAGAGACTAAAATGGAAGTAAAGCGGCATGGTCAAATTCATGAATAGAGCAGTATATTATACAGATATGCTATATTCCAGTGCGGTAAAACTAAATGGCTTCATTCTATAACCGTGCGCCGGGTCAGTTCATCATCGATAGACAATTCAACAAAATAGCTTAGCGTTCGATCTTTTGTTAACAATGCGACCATTAGCATTAATAACAAGCTGTATGGGTCTTATTATTATAATGCTAACTGTTATCCATTGTGCTTAAAGTTACAGAAGAAAGAAAACACAGACATAAAAACAGGGATCCGGTATCAGATGTAAAACCCGCCAGTACAACTACAAGCGCAAAGCGTGCCACTGCACTGATCTTGTCCTACATATAATTATTATCGCCTTATTAATCTCAAGAAATCCGTGTGTATGTGTGTATGCGGGAAATTTCCGAGCGGTTATATTAAAAAAACGGTAAGAGTTACGGGACTGGTTTTTTTCGGTATAGTGCCGATCATGGAATGTGGTGCCTAATAATGACTTAATTACCCACGAGAAAGAAATGATTATGAGATTATTGTTTAAGGTACTATTGGATACGTGAGGGTACTCCGAATAGAATTGCTCACCTTGCTACACGTTGTATACCTCTCGGCCGGCGCGCGCTCAAAAGGGGTTGCAGCGTGTGTCAATGCTCACCTAATGCCGGGCTTTGAATCAGCGGGTAATTACTCCTACCCTTTTTAACTGCGGCAGTGCAATCCTGGCCGAAGGCCGGGTTACACTAGTACCAAATAATATACAATTTTACCACACGTGTACCACAACGGTAATTGATGCCTATACGAGCGTTCTTTTGCTGTGGAGTGTGGGTCGACTAGATTATATTGCGGAGTTTAATTAAATAATCCATTGTTTTTGTCGTTCATCTTTTTGGAATCAAGATCACCAGTAGATATCCCATCAAAGTATTTACATTTGACTGAAGCCGATGACTACACTGGAACGTGCTAAAATTATATTTTAAATCCCTCCGAATAAATACATGGCCTAAATTAGTCTTGCAACTGTCAACAATATACCGAAAATTACCGACGGGGGTTAGAAATATATTGGATGACTGAAATCCGAAGTTTCATGCAAAAAAGGTCAAAAGGAACGTACGTACTATAGATGCTCAAGTGACATCATACGAGAAAATATATTAAGATGTCTGGGGAGGGTAGCAAGTTTTAGGGAAATTCATTAGGTTGTGAGCCCCAGGCAATTACCCATCTGACAAATCGGCGATATCATTTATCCTGAGCACTTTAACTTTCCGTTCTCTCATCTTCCGAATGAGCATGCACATGTCTCCATTAAGGAAGGCCACCAATTCCTCGTCTGAGTCCGACAACGTAAGGATACTAAATGTTGTAATGGGTTCGCCGTAGTTCTGTCATATGATGACACACTGACTGGAATTTCAAGTGTGAGTGTTATTTTTCTGTTTGAAATATGCGGTACCTGTGAAGGTTTCTTCTAGCAACAACATCCTCCCCGGTAAGGGCTGTCTCCTTGTCTCCAGTCTCCACTAGAATGAACGACCCAAGTGCACAAAGGAGGGCCAGAACTGCCAAGCCTCCCAGAGGAACAGCTTTGTGGGTGATGGGAAATAAGTTATTGAAGATGTAAGGCCCCAGGAAGGAGCCAATTCGGGCCGAACTGGAGGACACGCAGAACACAAAACCTCTGTGGGAAGTAGGAGCCAACTCTGCAGTCCAAAGATAGACTCCAGAAAAACATCCGGATACAAAGATTATTCCAATCAGGCAAGAAACACTCTCCAAAGTCCAGTCGGTGTTTTTACCTAGCTTCACCTCCGGAATGGCTATCAAGTAAAATATAGCAGCCCCAACAAACATCAACATCATAGCTCTTCTTCGACCAATACGAGCTATCAGCGGCACTGCAGATATATAAGCTATCAACTCGCCAACTGAAGCCATCAAGTATCCCAGATATCTATTTGGAACTATGGAACTCCAGCCGAAGTTAAAACCGTAGTAGGCCATTCCAACAAAGAACCACAAAAACATTAAGATCGATGTCTCCAGTAGAAGACTTGGGTAGGAACAAAGGTCTGCTAGCTGACGAAGAACAGTCTGATTCCTATCTCGAACTTTCCCGGCATCCGATATCTCAATGTTATCTATATCCAATTTAGAATCGGTTAAGAGCTGTAAAGCTTTCAGCGATTGCTTGGCAGATTCGATATCGTTGTTGATAACATGAAAACTCGGGGGCTCAGGGCAAAACAATACTTGTACGTTCATAACTGCAATGATGATGGCCGCTGCGAGGAACATATAGTTCCAGTTAGGAATCAAGTACCCTACCGCTGTTGCGAGTGGGTAACCCAAAGCCCAGAGACACATTGCCCAACCGTTGATGTAATTCTTTTGCTCGACTGGAACCAACTCAACTGTCATGATGTACACTCCAGTGAACGCCAAGTACATTCCAAGACCTTGAAGGAATCTGATGATCAGCAAAAAATAGTAGTCGTGACAGAAGGTTCCCGAAAACGTGATCAACACTGCAATGAAATATCCTAATACGGCTGTCTTCTTTCTGCCGATATGATCATACAGAAACCCTCCCAGAATCAGACCGGTCAGGCCTCCTGCAAAAACAATGGAGGAGAGAAGTGTTTTCAATACTTTACTGGACCCAACACCACAGTTCAGATCAAATTCCACAGAAAATGAAGAATGAGTCATCTCCCATTTTATGTCAGAGGACTTTAAAACGAGCTCAGTTTTTCCATTTTTCTCTTCGGTCATTTTGCAGGGAAATTCTTGAAGCAGAGAGTTATTTGATGTAATATAATCTTGGCACTTTTGGGATATGCAAGACCAGTTGGTCTCTGGGGTTGGATCAATTCCTGGAAATACGATAATTCATAATTGTGTCGACCCAACTGTTTGAACTTCAATCACGTTGGCATATGTAAGAATGGGAAAGAATATCAGATGAAACTATCGACATAAACAATTATTTTTTGTAGCTATTGGGGCTACATGTGAAACGCATGAAAATATATGCAAGGATGAAGACCTGCGAAAGAAGTGAGATACACAGCGGTGGGGCCGTTAAACCAGGTTATCATGAGAGACATCAGGAGCAGTGTGTATTTCCAGGTTCGCTGTCTGAACAGTTCCTCGATCACATCATCTGTTGTAACCTCCTTTCCGGATGCAACAAACGCACTTCTCTCCGTCTCTGAATACATGGTCTACTAATCACAGGTAATTGGGGTGTCAGTTAATGACGGTTTTTTGGATTGCTTCAAATCCCTTTACTGTATGAGAAAGACACTATAAGGTTATATTACGAGCTTGTTTGTTCTTTAACCTAAATTGGCTCAAGTAGCGCTGGTCAGTAACATGATGATCACTGCAGCGCCACTCCTGTTACCAGAGTTTCCAGGTGATTAAGGGTGGCGCCGACTTAGAACCATTGTAGATTCCTTTCTTTATATATACATAGTAAGATTGTAGATTCCTTTCGCTTGAATATTACTACCATACACTACAAAACCTAAAACCGACGCAAAACTGCACTGAAGAATTAATGAATAGTAGAAAATACGATTCACATTATTAATATTATATTCGAATCCAAAAGATGTTTTATAGACGCACAGAGCATAACATCGCCTTGGCCCTTGCGTTTTCTAGCATCAGCCATCCTTCAATAAAGACGGTCAAGGGCGGGGAACTAGAAAGAGGCATGGAGATCGACCAATACTGGACGGCCATCATCAAAATGCAAACGAGAATGAGAAAGCGTGAAACAATGGGTAACATAAATACAATGCTCCGTGTAACGAACTGACTGGGCAGCCATTAATCCTGTTATTTAGAACGGCCATTTTATCGCACATTCAACTTCCTACCGGTACCTTCAATTGCATCTTCGAATTCAATTACTAATGAGCCTTGTTATTATCAGTGGTTCTACACTCTACAGATTAACTTAAGTCAATCTAGCTCTTTTAATCTAAAAGTCAACTTAAACGAAAAGCAACCTTTATCGTAAGTACGCGAATAGAAATGAAATTGAAAAGTACGATAATTGTCAATTTCAAAACTACAGCAATCTTGCTGGCGACGGTCTGGAAGTATCAGTTCCCTGCTCTCCATAGACCAACTCCACACTCCACAGTTCAGACTTAGTCACGACTCACGGTGAGCATGAACAGAAATTCTGCAAGTGCCGCAATTGTTTCAGTTTCCGCGGCGTGATGATATATTCGTTACATGGTTAGATTTCCATATAAGCATACACTGTGTGACCTTTCCTGATCTGCAATGTGGAAAACCCTCTTGCGACTTACTCATTCTTTCGTACCGAATAACAGTACTTGGCACAGTCTCACAAGTATATGACTCCACTTCCGGACTCCATCTAGGTCGATAGTCTGATAAAATAAAGAAAGGAATCATGTGCAGTATAAATATAATCAATTTTTACCGATAAGGATAATAGTGTATGTACTAAGAGCGCCAACTTGTGGGTGAGATTTTATGTCTCAAAACCCAACATATTATACACCATTGGAAAGGTCTCATTGAGTAGAGTCATATGGTACCAAGTTTTGGGGAAATGGCTGCTCCTAGCGAAAGTTATAGCCCGTCAAAGTCCCAAAATTGTCACTTCAGAAAATTGGGCGGGACATCGTGTTCTTAAACTTTTTGACAAATTTTTTTAACAGCATATTGTTTATCACAGTTTTTTACACAAGATTTGCTGTATGCCGTAATTTTTAATCCATTATTAGAGTCACAATAAATTTATTTTGTCAACAGAGTTTGAAATACTTAAAGAGACAATTGATATTCCGCGTGGTTCGCGGCGCGCTTCATTGTCTACAAATTGTTAAATTGCGCGTTACAATTCCGAGTAACGTAGCAGAAGACGTTTCCCTGAATTTTGTTGGGGATTTTGTAGGGGATTTGACACGGATTTCAAATCCCCTAGAAATAGTTTCGAATTGTCCCTGGGAGTGGCCTGAGTGGGTCAAGACGTCGAAAATTAGTTTCTCTGGTTGTTGGGGTCAGGTACTTCCTATCTAACCACCAAATCATGTTCCAAATACCCCGGAACATAAATCTCCTACAGGGGTAAAGATTCTCATTCTTGATTTGACCTGGATTTCAGTAATTTTGGGGTGGGCGTGGCCCTTGGGAGTAGCCTGAGTGGGTCAAGATGTCGAAACTCGGTTTTTCTAATTGTTAGGGACAAGTACTAACCATTAAACCACCTGAAAATGTTCCAAATACCAGGGAACTCATACAAGTGTGAAATCCCCTACACAAATCAAGGAAACGTGCTCTCCCGAGCAGCGCACGAACAATGCCAGAGTGCATTCTCGGTTTTTGTGTCGAATGTGAATCTAACTTATTCTGAAACTAGTTATTAACAACTATAATTGGAATTAATTGTAGAGAGTTCAGCTACTAATTAGCCACGTCACTAATTACTTAATTAACCAATACATAAATTAATGAAATGGTGGCCTGGTGCCCCCATTTATGGCCTGCTTGCTCCCAACTGTATCTAGAACCGTTTGTGAATAGAACGAGATCAGGTTATATCTTAAATCTTTATGGTATGCAACTAGTATGCTGATGTACACCCAAACATGCGAGGAGTTTATTGAACATTTAAAGCATTAAAGACTATTGCTGTAATGCTGTCCGTATCCCTAATAGTGAGTATAAAAATATAGATTATAGGTATCTACCATTTCACAAGTCTTAGTTCCCGAATTTGTTCTGACATCGAGTGAATCGTAATTGTAATCAGTACAATACAAGATGAATTTAGCATCATTTTAGTTTGATTTCTGTTGCCGGTCTAGAAGATGTTCGTGATATTGCGCATAATTGATCGAAGTATAATGTTTGATTCCATCGTATGTGGTGCATACCTTACAAGACATATTTATGTGGATCATAATTAGCGGGGATCGAAATTATGGGGGAACGAAAATATGGGGATTTTTTCAGAAATTCAGTAATTCAGTTCGAAATTTCAGAAATTCAGTACGAAAATACGGGGATTTTTCCCCATTTTTTCCAAAAATCCCCGAATTTCGTACCATATAAATATGTCTCGACCTTTATTTTACTCTAAAGACATACTAGAAAATCCGTTGTCACAGGGAGGAAGCTAGAAATCAATTTTTATCGTATCATAAAATTTATATCACAACCGAAGATACATGCTATTATTTCGTAGAACACTCTAAACTCAACAGTAAATGATCGAAATTTAGCTCCAAATTCTTAACACGTGCACGTGCAAGTCTCCGCCTGCTTTACTATGCACGGGAGTGGTTGTACACACAAACAGAAATCAAATACATTACATAATATCGTGTAGTTATTGACTACTGATAACACATTAATTATAAATATGGCGAAATATCAAATATTATCAAAAATTTAAAACTTGTCAATTTGTCAAATTCATTAATTAGTCTCAACTGATACATAAAATAAAGTAAAACATCGCAGCAATAAATGTAAGATGAAGACATTGACAGCTCTAATAATAGATCAGAAAAAGAAAAATGGCGTTATTTAATAAAAATCGGATCGAATAACTTAAACTACAGGTGCTAGGGCCCTTGTAAACAATCGTAATATCCTGTGAATTAAATCGATTGCAATTGATTCTAATTGGTGTTCATCACTGATTAGAGGCAACAAAAGGATAAGCTAGTCAGCAGTAAATAGCAATGCATCAGTCAGCGAACGCCATCGATCGTAATGTGTCTTGCTCCAAGCTTTTAACACCTGAAATTATATGTTTTGAATAACAATTACACTTAAACAAAATAACGGAACTCAAAAAGCTATTACGTTACAATATCTTAATAAAATTCTGGGTAACTAATTTAATTAAAACCATACCAACATTGAACCTACGTCTTACAATGAGCGCTATAATTTTTAGAACATAACAGCTGATAACCACCTATAACAAGCATGAAGCACGTGATTAAAACCCACGATTAGGGTCGGGCAATCTATCACTACTACTGGTACCACTACCACTACCAGGTATGAGCGTAAGCTGCGTAACAAACTTAAGATGAAACAATTGATCTCTATGTAGCACTCTGCACTATATTATGTGTATACGTATCACTATTTTGCCTAGTATTACTGATAAGATGGTGATAGAAAGTAAGCACTTATTTTCTAAATAAAATGGTATTTACTTTAAATATCAGGATGGCAATTACTAGCCTGGGCTGATCTTCGTGATAATATATACAGTAAAACCCGGACTTACAGTACAGTTTGGGGAAAGATAAATAGTGCGGTAAATCAGAGTTTTCACTTTTTGGTCCCATTGGCCGTCGGATCACATGGTTTCTCTCCGCACAGAATTGGTTCCCAATTAGTGGTCATGGAGTATGGACTATGGTTCACAAGTACTCAAGTGAGGGGTACTAAAACTGTGTAGGTTCAATGCTATACAGTAGTTACGCTCTTTGACCAACATCAGAAACAAAATTTACCGCCCCTTCTGTCACCAAGGATCGACCGGGACTGCTTTTTTGGCCGGGACTGGAAAGGAGTGCCGGAACCAGGTATACGCCGGGACCGGGATTCAGCCAGATTTGGGACCGGGATCATAGCTAAGAAAACCAGCACTTAACACTTACACTAAAATCTGGTATCCGCAACTGATAAAAAGCACAAGCACAGCTTACCCTTTTTACCTTTTTAAAAAATCCGAGATTAAACCGGGATCCCGGTCGAACCTTGTCAATCACTCCCTGTCATCTCTTAGCTCTCTGACACCTTATTGCTAAATGCTAAGATCCTAGCTTAACAATACGTAACACACTCATATGGACTATGGAGTCTTTATTCTAGCTCGACGGTACTGTAAAACCACTATTTGGGAACCAATTCTATGCGGAGAGAAATCATGTGATCCGACGGGGACTAAAAAGTGAAAACTTTGATTTACTACATTTCTTACATGTGCATCTCTTATTGCTATAATTCGACGACTTATCTGCTACTTTGTGTCCGGTGCTTTACAATTGTGAGTACGTTATGGAAGATGTGTACTTAGACTCTCTAATGTAGTCAAGTAAACATTTTGACCAGCTTTCAGATGCTTCTAATGATCTTGGTATTTGGGTTGAGGTAAAGAAGACAATAAACTTTGATGAAGATAGTGATATCACATTCGAGAAGTTCAAGAAACCAAACAAGGACGTTCTAGTAAAGCACCTTTTTGATGCGTTTTAGGGTATTGTCTAATATCAGCGTATTCTCCACGAATAAAAAGATAGAGGAAATGAAAAGTGAAATCATCAGTGCTCAGAAATCAGCAAAAAATGCAGAGGAAACCCTTCCCCCAGCTCTGTCTCCACTTTCACGGCAGAAAACTTGAAGAAAGTAGTTTGGAATGTTGTAGCTGAAGAAGATCGCAGCAGATTGCAGAAATGTCTTCATTTTTAGTCTCAAGGAGGATACAGGAGAGAAACTTGGCGATCAAATTTGTGATGTGTTTGAACAAATTGCAGAAAAGCCACGCTTCGAAGCTGCTCAAATTGGGAATATGTCTGCTGAAAAACCCAGAGCTGTCAAAGTATCATTTTGAAACTCTAGCACCGTTCATCAGATACTGATCAAAGCTAAAGAACTCAGACTGTCTCAGTGTTTCAAAAGTAAATAAAGGTATATTGTCACTAGTGAGATTGTATAGGGTTGTACACTCCCTCTTTTTCTCTATTGTCACCATAAATTGAGAACGTTTCGAGTTAGGAACTCCAAAATTTCCAGACACATTTGGACTTGGTTTGATAATTGAAGTGCTTTCCTATAACTTCAAGTTCGTTGTTTACAACTAAGCCGAGTTATGACCATTTTAAGATCTGCCCGGATACATGATCCTGGCACTTAATCTGTGATTTCTTCACTCAATCAATGGCACTTAATCAGTGATTTCGAATGATTTAGTTTCAAATTATTATTCAATTAAGTAACTTTTGGTGATCAATCCAGTGATCAAAACCAAATTGCCCAATCTTGCCTAAAAACGATGTTTAAATGTTGCATTGAAAATATCCACTTGCTAAAGTCACAATGATAAGAATTGGCTGTAAATAAACTGGTAAGTAGATGAGCATAACAGTGGAGTTCCCACCTACGAGTGGTAAACTGAGAGGTGGCGCGCTTGAGAGGTGGCGCGGTGTATGCAGAGTATGATAATGTCAGCCTTGCGGCGCAGCTGACATTAGCTTTCATTACGTTTGAATTATCGCGTCCGCGGCAAGGCTGACATTATCATACTCTGCATACACCGCGCCACCTCTCAGGCGCGCCACCTTTCAGGCGCGCCACCTCTCAGGCGCGCCACCTCTCAGCCACCACTCGTAGGTGGGAACTCCACTGTAATGAACTTAACAGGCATCAACCATCCTTAATGTTAACTATCAATAAACAAGTGTGTTTGTACAACGCAGTTTTAGGTATTTAATGGGTTTTCATCAGTAATAATTCTTGCTTGAAAATTACAGTCAGTTGGTGGTACTGTTAAAAAGTTGTAAAATGGTAATGGTAAATATGACTGTCATTTCTCTCCACAATCGCTTGGTAAGAGGTTATCAAGTTTATTATAAAGGCTGAGCTAAAGCAGTCATAAGTATACTAAGATAAAAAAGGTCACATCAAGCTTGAACAAAGTACTTACATATTTCAGCCCATAGGATCGGTTGTTAATTATTATATCAGCATACAATAATGTTTGTCAGGACAGCATCTCGTCCCAAAGGAAATTCTGGTTCAGCTAGAAATAATGATATTTGAAGTTCATATTTTAAATTCAAATATACTTTAATTAGAATAAACAATATACATCAAGTTAGGTCTGTTTCTACACCAGGAAAATAGATTAATTGAAAAAATTGCTTCAAAACCTTCAAATACCTGCATTTCAAGAAATAATAACGAAACAGGTCTTCGAGTTCGATATTACAGCTTAACTAAGATAATCAAACTAAGTGGGACACACCAGCATTACAAAGCAGCTGTTTTTTGGCAAATGTGATTATAGGCCATTATTGAAGGCAGATATCTAGAGCTTGGAATGCGTTTCGGGCATCAAAGAATGTGCACCTGTGTACCAAGGCAATTGCACGATTCGATTGGAAGTACATATATTTTTTCTAACACAGAATACTGTCCGTTATTGTTTATACAAGGCTTGAATGGGTTAATTGTAATTTCGGTATGAAGCATGATTGAAATGATCTGATAAAAGTGTAAAACGTTCAAATCCTGTCCAGAACTAAACGAGTGTAACAAGGGATTTAATTTAGCAACATCCTGATCCACTAAGCTATTCTATACTAGAACAAGTTTCTAGTAGTCTCCAGCACATCACAGCCAAAACGCAGTAACACTAACTCAGTTATATTAAATACCCTCTCAAGATCATTTAGTAACATCTGCATTATATATTATATATTACAATGTGCAACAAAACAACTACTATCAATCTAAATATACCGGTGTGTGCATTGAGGCTCTATGCTAATTGCTATGAGCGGCAACAAAAAGAAATTCGACCGAAAAGTATCAGCGCATATTTGATATGAGAATAAAAATGGCGCAACAAAAAATTTGGTTAAATCTCCTTATTGCGATTTCTAACTGCGCGGCGTAGCGCGTACTTTGAAATCCAAATAAAAATTATTTTTGATTCAAATGTCGGAAAATAAAATTACGGCATACAGCAAATCTTGTGTAAAAAAATGTGATTAACAATATTCTGTAAAAAAATTTCGTAAAAAAATTTAAAAACACGATGTCCCGCCCCATTTTCTAAATTGATCATTTTTGGGACTTTGACGGGTTATAACTTCCGCTAGGAGCAGCCATTTCCCCAAAACTTGGTACCATATGACTCTACTCAATGAGAACTTTCCAATGGTGTATAATATGTTGGGTTTTGAGACATAAAATCTCACCCACAAGTTGACGCTCTTAGTACATACACTATAATTGAAAGGTAATAGGATTAGGATCCTACTGATGGCGGATTCCTGTTATGTCCTGTTATATGTATTTGAATTTGATTCTTACCTAAAGACGTCACCTGACCGTCCTGCAACCCATACTTCCAAACAGATAACCTTTTTACCTTGGAAACCTGAGATAACGCAGAGATAACACTAAATGGGCCTCCTAGACAAGAAGATAACCACAGACTGGAGGACGCCGTACTCACACTATATAAGGGTTCGTCGCATCAGGTCAAATGGGATTTTTCCGCAGCTCTCGGATATGCTGACACTTGCTCACTCTTCCTAATACTAGAGCTACCCCTTCCCTCTAAGGATCCGTGTCTCATATATTCCCTAAAAGGTACGTCTGAGAGCTCGGGATCCCAATATAGATATTTATATGTAAAGTGGTCGTCATATTTAGGTAGTCATCTTACGTTAGTTATTATAGTGCGTCGGCACATTTAGGTAGTTATCTTACATCAGTTATTATACGTCATAATGTTATCGTTCCCTCATTTCAGGATTCGTTCCGAACCTACTATCTTCCTGACTTATAAGTCGCCATAGCCTTTAATCCTCATAGTTGGTTGTCACTCAAGCTGCCCGATTATCTCTTCGTCCACCTTCGTCTACCTCGATGTCATGATCCTCCCTACTTCCTACGTATTTGACGCCATCGTTGATTGGACGTTTAAATAATTTTACCTGATATTATTACTTTTACGTTTTGTTGATATTGCATTATTATATTAAATTGATTACTACTATTAGTTCCATTTCGTTGCAACACCTATATACTCGTCTTTACTGCATCAACAACCAATTACAAATTAAACATCTAAACCTAAATTGAATCCTTAGAATACTTTCTGCATTTCCGGAGTCGTAGTTCGAACCCCGTCCCGTTAATTAACCTAATACTAGGCCACAACTACACCATTAGAATTAAAGGCATCGGCACTGACTCATGATTAAGGAGCCCTTATAAACTAAATAATAAATTGTAAGTCAGGCCATGATTGAGACCGAGATTCAATGGCATATTCCTTGCAGCCGGGCCTGAGTACACAACATCTGTACTCAGCCGTTCTACCGCACCGTACAGCCCCATATAGACAATTAAGAAAGCGAACATCTCTATAATTAATATTAATCTTAAGTAACCAGGCACAGTAAACTCCACACCCTAACATAACTGTACATAAAGGCATAATTAAAATAAACCCGGTCATAACAATTCCACTTTCATTTGTCTTTCCATTTCATTATTTTCCCTTCTTATCTCAGTTGGTAAAACGTCTGCTGACTTTTAGATTTTAAAAGTTTTGATGAAATTAGAGTTTTAATAAAACTTAGAGCTAAACTATTCAATTAAAGTTTAACACACTATCAAACTCAAAGGTGATGAGAGAAGTTTTAGCTTTGCTTGTGGTGCTCGGTATATGGACCACGATAAATGGTCACGCGTCTGATCATCCATACGCTACAAAACTGACGGGACCACTGACTACATTCACAGTAATGCTCACTTAAACTACGAAGTATTTGAGTTCCCTGTCTCGTGCTAATGAAGGTGCAAGGCCGGATGGATGTGCACGAAATTTCATTTGTCGACATTTCATCGCAAGACGTTTGAAATTGATACGGGGCTTTAAGATAAATTGTAGGGTGCAGCCCGGCCCTTCCCTAAAATGTATTTATGAAACAGGATGTTGGTGGTTGGTGGAGAATTGGGGATCACAGACTACAGTGTGGAACGGAGAACGATATCCCCGTACCTGGAGACTACTTAAACGAAGGGAGCAAAAGGATCGCAGTATTTCGACCCAGTAATGGATACTGGTACGTCAAACTAGAATTTAGCTTTATGATGTGGCCTTGATCGTCAGCAACGTTTAATGATGAAAACAGATAAATAGGGCGTTAAACATCGATGACAATCAGAATTAATGCACTTAACAGCACTTTTTCAGGTATATAAAGGGTAAAGGGGAAAAGGACTGGGGTGCTTCAGCTGGAAACGTGGCACTCCAGTGTGGTATGAATGGTGATGTCCCGGTACCTGGAGATTACAACGGAGACGGCATCGTGGACATCGCTGTTTGGCGCCCTTCCGTTGGGTATTGGTACATCAAAGGAAAGGGAACTTCGCACTGGGCAGCAAGTTCGGGAAATATAGGAGTGCAGTGTGGACAGAGAGGAGATGTCCCAGTTCCCATGGACTACTTTAACGAGGGGAAACTAAGACTGGCTGTCTGGAGACCGAGCAATGGAGTCTGGTATATCAAGGGAGACAACAGAATACTACACTGGAATCAAAGCAACGGGAATATCGCCCTACAATGCGGGATGAGTGGTGATATACCAGTTCCTGGAGACTACTTTGGGGACGGGATAGTTCGTCTTGCTGTTTGGAGACCAAGTAACGGAGTTTGGTACATCAAGGGGTCCATCCAAGCTTCCTGGGCATTGAGCGGTGGTAATGTAGCCGTACAGTGCGGTATGCAGGGTGATATTCCGGTCCCGTACGATTACTTTAATGAGGGAAAGCTGAGGATCGCTGTGTATCGCCCAAGTAACGGTGCCTGGTATATCAAGGGTGATGGGGTGCAGAATTGGGGAAGCTCGGCAGGAAACGTAGTCTTCTACAAAGGAAATGTGGATTCACATTCTAAGATCCCAGTCCATCTTGTTTAAACAAATGTGACTTGTGAATGAACATTGAGCATGGTTGCACTCGAAATTTGTATTCCAATAATTACAATTGTAATACTATGTATGGTACTTATAATTGCGAGTATTGAAATACAAAATTCGATTTACGTTTTTAATTGTGGCAAGATAAAAATCATATAATTCGTGATGATTGAGAAAAGTAGGTATTGCAATCTTTAATATAATAGTAAATATTAATTTATCTTCATGACTTTTTTGCTGAAAAAAATGAATTTTTTTTATTGTTTATTCTTGTTCTTGTTCTTTTTTTGAGAAGAAAGATAATCTTCAAACAATTTACTCAAACAATTTCATCAATAGTCATTGTCCAATGACCATATATTATTATTAATAAACCAATACAATAAATGTAATACTAATACCTAATAAAACGGTAAAAATCTTTAAAATCAGGTACAATTTATAAAAATCCTCTTTGTAATATATAAGGCAGCCCATAGAAAATAAAAATTCCGCAACTCAGAAAATATAATTTCCATAATACTATTATTATCAAACTTTACACAAATCTAAAGTAGTTACTAAGAACATCCTAAAGACCTGATAAGTCTACTTAAAAGACTTGTAGAACTGAAAACTTACTATAAATACAAAAAATGGAACTTAAAACTGAACTTATCAAAATCAAAAATTATGCAAAAAATTGAACTTAAAACTGAAATTATCGAACTAAACAAATTTAAAATAAATTTCTCCACAATTGGCGGTTCGAGGCTAAATACCTTAAGTCTGTCAAGTCGTCACTATTATTCAAATTAATCTTTCTTTTATTCAAATCGTCTAAAATAGTTTTTAAAATATTACATTGATGTCTACCAATCCTTCCCCTCATATTTGACATACTATCAACAGCAAAATTTAGAGCTAGTTGTGGTGGTGAGTTGCAGTCGCTACGAAGAATGTGCCCAAACATTTTCCAGCGGGATTTATGAACTCTCTCTGAAAGTGGAGTTACATTGCAACGAGCATACAAGTCCTTGTTGCTGATGATGCGGGGATAGGTCATGTTGATGATACGTCTTAGATGTTTGCGTTGACACACATCAACTTTATTGATAATGTTTTGTGGAGCTGCCCAGCTGTTACAGTTGTACAATAAAACAGGGGTAACAAATGCTTCATACAGCTTGATTTTTACAGGAAGAGAAATGCGGGATTTCTCTGCCCATACCTTGCTGTATTTCTCAAAGGCAACGTAAGCAAGGATGCATCGGCGAGAGATATCCGCCTTACTGCAGAGCTTGGATCCAAGAGAAATAGTGTTGCGCCAGGGCTCTCTGTTCTTCACGGGTTCACCCTTGGCGTCTACCTCGTCCTTATCTGCAATGTAGAAGTGGACATGTTCTGTTTTGTCCTCGTTCACAAACAGGTTCCATTCTTCAAGGATCTCCTTACATATGGGCAGCATTTCTTTAAGAGTTTCCTCATCCTCATCTGCAAAATCGCCATCGTCGGCGTATTCCCATTCAATAGGCATGAGGGTCTCGGGGTTGAACGGTGGGTTAGGCCGAATGGTAATCACTACTGCACGGAAGTGGTACAAAGCTCCAGCAAAGTACAGTGTGAAGAATGCACCAGATGCAGCATCACCTTGAAACGAACCCTCGGATGTTTCAAACTCTAAAGAAATGGTGTTGTTGATTTTTATCCTCAATTTGGTGTTGGAGAGCAAGTATCTCGCCAAACGAATGTCATCCTCACAACAACCAGCATCAGCCAAAAGATCCAGGATAACTGATCTCTTGATGGTATCGAAGGCCGAGCTCATGTCGATTCCCATCTTGTGGAATTCCCATCTCTTCTCTTTCACAACAGAAATCAGAATTCGTTGAGTCCAGACAATATTGGCACAACTATGACCAGCCTTGTAGGCATTTTGCCATGGTCCTGTGTACTCTGCAATTTGTCTTTGAATTCTGTGTAGAGTTATCAAGGAGAGCAGTTTCCTAGTTCCATTCAGAAGGCAAAGAGGTCTGAGGCTCTTTAGAGGTCCTTTTGGTTTCCCTGGCTTCTGAAGAGGGGTTAGAAACCCTTCCGTAAAAGAGGGTACATGCTCATGTACTTCGAATGATCGATTAATGAGACATGCATATTGCTGGAAGAATACAGGTGGTGCGTACTTCAGCAGCTCATTAGGAATCTCATCAGGACCTACTGCTTTTCCATTTTTCAACTTTGAAGCAGCATATTGGACTTCTAAGGAAGTTATAGGAGTATTCAGAGGACGTGGGAGTCCAGTGAAAGGTACCAAAGGAGGGTCTGAGCTGGTGTAGTGATTTTTAAACCACTCTCTAATGATACTTGCTTTCTCATCGTCACTTGCAACTAGCTGATTTTCAGAGTTGAAGACAGATATTGGCTCTGACTCTTTGTTGGCAGCAAGAGCTCTGGTAGCCTCGAACATCCTCTTCGTGTCATCTGCAGCGTTGATGGTGTCAGCTAGTTGGTTGGCTAGAGCTGTCTCTAGCACTTTAAGACGTTTATTGATATCGTTCTTGAGTTTATTGATACGTTTTCTCAATACTGTCCTGTCTCTAACTGAATTGTCGTTCAGTTCTTGTAAAAGTTTGTGTCTCTCGTCAGACATATTACATACATGCTGATCTGGTGAATGATGATGTCTTTGGGTTTTCTTCTTGACACCCACAGTGTTAGAGGCTGAAGACTTGATAGTTTCAAACAGCTGTTCAAATCCTGTCTTAGTGTCAGCGGAAGGTGGAAGACTGTCAATTTGCTGAGTGACAGTTTGCTGGTACTGATCTTGTAGTTCCTTGTTACAAACCAGCGATGTCGTGTTGTACCTTTTAGCAGCTGATGTACTGTTTCGGTATAACTTAGTTTGCTGCCTCAGGTCTATGGTAGCTTTTACAATCTTATGATCAGAATGTAGTTTAGCTCCTGCATAGGCCCTTGCATCATTGAGAAAAACAGTGCTGCGTGACCGGCATAAAACATAATCAATCTGAGAAAAATAAGGGCGACTTCTTTTGGTCTTCTTGTCTTTCACCCAACCAGTTCTTGTGGTTATATGACGACTGGAATGACGAAATGCAGTGTTTGCAGCAAACAAACCATTAGAAACAAGAAAATCCAATAATCTCCCACCATTTTCATTTCGTCTTCCAACGCCATGCCTTCCAATGTTCTTATGAAGGCCATTTTGAAAGTCATGATCAGACCTTTTGCCAAGTTTGGCATTGAAATCTCCTAGGATCCAGATTTCATGTCTTGCAGGCACATTAATTGCTTCCTGAAGCTCACAGTAAAACTGGTCAGTAGCAGCCGGATTTGATAAAGTTTTTGGGTTGGTTGGACTGTAACAGTTCACGATTCGCATTTTGCATGGTGGTTTGTTAACAAACTTGGATGGAATAAAAAAGTCCATGAAAGCAACTCGATCGCTGATCTGATGAAATGAACGGAAATAATGATTTACACGAGCGTTGATTAAGAAACCCAGTCCACCATGACGTCCTGTCTTCTGATCAAACAAAAGGAGGCGATGATTTCCTGGTAGTTTCTTATCCTCAAACTGACAAATTTTAGTCTCTTGAATCCCTATAATGTCCAAGTCATACCTGTCACAGTCGTTAGCAAGCAAGCACTGCTTGTCTGTCTTCGTCAAACCTCGAACATTCCAAGTAGCAAAGCCGAGAAGAGCAATTGGTAACAAGGATTACGGTGTCCAGTTCTACAGCGATCGTTCGCGTAGGGGTAGATAGTCTGGTTGCAGCAACCATGCGAGTCCATCACGAACTACACGCCATCCTAAAAATAGGATACTATAAAGCTATAATATGTAACAGAATATTTAAAATGCTCACATCACTGCAACAAGCAGTCCAGGCCTTCACTCAACAAACACTCCCTGGCCTGAGCATTTATGATTTCTCTAATCGCTATAATTACTTGAAATTAAAGAGGAAGTGTCAGAACAAACTACAGTCACCTTCACATAATAAGTAAACAACTATATTTAAACAATTCGAAGGAATAAAACTCGCAAAACAATACTCCTGTCAAGTTTAAAGAGTTATTGTCAAGAATTGATAAAGGAGTAACCTTGAACTGTTCAGCAAATCATAACATAATTAATTGCTTTAAAGTATGATACATTACGATATGGGGTCATTCGCATATTAATTTAGCCAGATTTCAACCATTTCAGACCTTACTTTTAACAATAACCCCCTTTGATCCCTTCTGTGAGCCATGCCCATATTCCAAATAGAAATTGTGCAGAAATTATGCTAGGCTTTTCCAAACCGGCTTCCCCTAGGATGGCTTACGTAATTAGTGGCTCATTTATGAGCTATAAAAAGATTCTAATTCTATCCCGGAACCAGTTTAAACTTTTAAAAATTACACTGAAGTTTTATACTTAGTGCAATAAAAACATTCTATATATATAACATTCTATAAAAAAATACATTAGGTGTATAAAGAAATGGAGGGAAAAATGGCGTAACTTTTAATTGGTCTGGGCCCTGGGGTAAACAGTTCCGATGATTGATGTGCCATTGTTTAGACCAATTCAATATTAGTAACACTAACAGTACGGGTGAGCAGCCTGGCTATATTACCAGGGTGGTTATAGGCTGCTGGAGTTCGTTCTAAAATGGTACGGCTGTTCTGATAATTTAAGCGAAGCAGATTATAATGACAAAATGTATGCAAATAAGCTACTCGACAAAATTATAAGTCAATGATTACAAATTGCATTAATAAATCATTCTGAAATAACAGACAAGCAAGACGGACGATAATATTGTTAATGTGAATTAAGGCGTGTAGAATAACAGTTGATATGGTGGACAGATAAATATACAGTACTTATACTTATTACGTCCTCACTGCTCTATCCAAATATTAAGAACCAGGAAATTCTTTAACCTTACCAACCCCCCTCGCCACCAATCCCTAGCCTCATTCAACCGACAGACCCGTGAACATGCCCTTCGTGTTTTTCTTCCTTTCCATCCCTCCCTATCCAAACCCATCTCCAAGATACTCGGACAACACGACATTAAAGTCACCACTCCTCGGCTACCTCCCTCCGCAACCTCCTCACCAAAACGAAGACCACACCCCCTACTCACCTCATTCACACCACCCCCACCCTCCATCCTTGACACCACTCCATCACATATAAGCATTGTCCACACCATCACATTCAGCTGACTACGATTAACACATGTTTATTGAAAGCTTCTACAAGTTAAACCATCGTATCTCTTTATATATGTTTCTAACCCAACTCCATTTAACTTTAATCTTACGGATATGTTCTATTATACATATACATTATA